GATTCGTGTTTGAAATAGTCTCGTGTTAGAAATGATTTGTGAACACTGTGTTTGTGTTCGACTCGAAAAACTTATTCATGTTCGTGTTCGGCTTGAAATTGAATCGTTAGAATATAAAATTATTTAGTAATTAATTTTTAAAATAATATTAAAATAATAATTTTTTTCTAAAATAATTGTTTGTAATAATTAATTATAATTTATAATATTTAATTTTATGAATATTTCTTATGTATATATATATATATATATCTCAAATACTCCAAAAACAATGCTAACACACGTTTTTTGCTCTACTTGAAGAGTGTTTGCACATGAATTAGAACAACTGTATTTGATTCCCAAACTTTTACTTGTGTTCGACTCGTTTATACTTCAAGCTTAAAATTTTTTTCGTCTTAACGAGCCTAACACGAGCTACTTAACGAACCGAACACGAGCTAATCGCGAACAACAAGCCAAATTGACAACCCTAAATATTTCAACTAAAATTCTCTGAAATAGAAAATTAATGTCATTCCCTGGAATGTCACAAAAACTTAATGATGTGATACTGTCAATAGGGCTATCAAAACGGCTCGTTGTTTGCGAATAACTCGTGTTTGCTTGTTAAAAAGCTTGTGTTTAACTCGTTTGCTAAGTTAACGAGCCGAACATGAATAAAGATTTGTCTGTTCATGCTCGGCTCGTTTTGTCTCAAAATACCAGTCAACAATATATATATATATATTAATTGATTATAAATCTCTATAGTCTTGTAGTCAATTAATTTTTTATAAAAATACTACTCATCAATTATATATATATATATATATATATTGATGAGCGGTATTTTTAAAAAATTTAATTGACTACAATGCTACAAAGATTTATAATCAATTAAAAGTATTAATTAAGAAAATAGAATAAAAATTATTAAATTAGATTCAAATGATGTTTTAATATAAGCAATAATGTTTAAATCTTGCCCCAACTCTTGATATCTTATGAGTATGTGATTAGAATTGTTAAAATGACTCTTTGTTCGTGAACAGCTCGTGCTCGACTTGCTAAGCAAACGAGCCGAACACGAACACATTTTTTGAACTCAAAATATAAATAAGTTGAACACGAGCTAAGCCTAAGCTCTCTCGTGTTCGGCTCGTTTACACCCTTAACTGTCAAGCATGTGTCAACCACATAAGTATACGTGTCAATCAAATAATATATAGATTTTTGAGTCTATGTATCAATCCTACAGAGAGTTTGTTAATTTTTGAAGAAGGTGAAAGTTCTAGTATACTAATTTTAAGTGTAGTTAGAAGTGTTTAATATATTGGATATTTAAAAGTGTCTAATTCCTATTTTTGCATAAATGAAAACCTCATAATGTTTTGAAACTTTCAGATTATATGAAAGATCATACTCTAATGATTTAAAATACATGAATCCTTGATATTATTCTAATGTGTTTCCCAACATATGGTTGACAAACAGAGAAAAATGCACCTTACCATTTTTTAAGGTCAATAGAAGCTTTGGAAACTCTTATTATAATTAACTTGATTTAACCATGCAAAGTTTTTTTATAATCATCTTGTCCTATAAAAGGTTGTAATTTCTAATCAGCAATATGCCTATTTGGCTAGGTGATTGAGTATTCACCTATTTGTTCTTCTAGTCAACGGTTAGAGGCCCTACATCATAAAGATTTTAAGCATTTCAAATGGTAAGTTCAGATGTAAATGAAGTTTGAAAAGTGAACACATCAACATAAAATAAATTATTGAATAGTCTAGATAAATCTTATGAATATATATAATTCGTTTCATTGCCAAGTCACAAAAGTATGAAAGCTCTTAGTTACCACACATAATTTAAGAAAATACCAAGAAATTTATTAAAGTCATAAAATTAGTGTATACAAGTAAAGAACAATTAAACCTAATTTGTTTATCCTTGAATTAAACATAAATTCTCTCCTTCTACTGAAATTCTCCTTATTTTTGATCTTCCACATACAAGCACTTGAGTGTCTTCACTAATGTCCTAACTCTCTTACAGAATCACACTTTTACACATACAGAATCACACTTTTACACACAAGCTAAGTAAGTAGAAATGGCCAAAATTATTAGAGAAAATGTTATCTGTCACTTCTTATTTTAGAATCCTTGTTATTTAAGTCCTTCAGATGTGAAATGACAACATTAGAGTGCCTATTGTGGGCGCGTAAGCACTCTAGGGTGCCAAAATTGGCAAGAGGGCACCCAGACTGTCAAGGGGTGCCAGTTTAGAACATAGACACTCAATTTCATATCATCTGTTCCCTAAGTTGCCTAATCACCTATATACTACATAAAACATTATAATACCCATGTGAAACAAAGGGTTGAAACAAATAAAGATAAAAGTAACATAGAAATATCACAAATAATTGGTATTCATCATCCATGAGTGTTAACCAAGACAAAAAATAACTAAATGTTCTCATCACCATTGTCCGAAAAATAGTAGAGACGATGACAATCCATAAGAGATCCAATGTGATAATGGTTTACAAAGACAATATCCTTAGAGATGAACAAAATTTGAAATGTACTCAACACTAAGCTACTAAAAAAGAATCCTGTAATATGGAGTGAATTGAAATTCTAATTACATCACATTAGTTTTATCTTGAGAACAATTTTAATGAGAAATAAAATAGAAAAGGTACTATCAATATTCTCTCTATTGTTTTTAGGTGTTGTTAACTCGTCGAATGAAATGGATAATGTAGCGCACTAAAATGATGTTCAACTTCTTATAAGGTTTTGAAGTCACATGCATGCCAGCTACATGTTCCAAAATTTGTAGTAGAGAAGGGCTTTGAAAAAAAAAAAGTGGTAGTCTAAGAGAGCCATCTTTTAAGAATGATAGTTGAGAAAAATAGAAGAAGAATTATTGGTTAACGAGATTCTTTTTTTGCCCTACAAAAATTGTAAGGAGGGCAACACAATATTTCTTCAAATGAGTGTGTTAGTTGTTTTTAAACCCTTTATGAATATAAGGTCATGAATTAATTAAATATCTCAAAGCATACGGTTTTCACCATATAAGCGTCCACCGATTAAGTGCGAACTCAAGGGGCCCATTCCAACAAAGAATATAAACATTTGAATTAAATATACTAGTTAAGCGTCAAATTCCACAAAGTACGATGAGGAAAAGAACACTAATCTACAACATCCATTAATAACGATAACATTGTAGAGTGGCTAAATAGAAGAGTTAAAAGTATTAACATCCAAAAAATTAAAATAAAGAATGTTATTATTCTAAGGGTTTCATAATAGAGAGAATGAAGAATCATCTTCAATCACTAAGGTGGATGTGGTCTTAAAGCATTAGCAATCTTGTATAAACAATTTCAAATTTAAAAGGGTAGCTGTGAAGGAGGTTTTAAATGGGATATGCCATCATATTCAACTCAATTTGAGTTGTCCAAAAGGTCAACATACATTGAACTATTCCGTTTTTAAGACGACAACAATTGAAAATGACATAAAAACTTGACGACAATCCCACAACTATGAATTGGCTTAATGATTTATAATCAAATCATTTTTTCGTTTGCTTTAAAATTGAAAATGAGTTGATGTTTGAGCTAAATTTCCGCTAGACTTGATTTGAAACTGGACTTGAATAAGATCAAGCTGAGTCAAAATATAATAGTTATTTATTAATTTTATATTCTATTTATACACATACATGAACTATTCATTATAAAAAAAATAATTCATGTTTGGTTTTATTAAGTTCAAATCAGATTAAAATGAGATAAATTTAAGAGAAAAATATCAACTTAAATAGTAAATCAATTTTGATTGAATTTCTTATTTTCATATATTTTTCAATTCAATATCAATCAAATCATAATAAGCCCTTATCACCCCCTCATGACTAAGGAAATAACTCTTAGGGAAAATTTGCTATATTTTTTATTTGGTCAAAATAAAAGATAAATTATTTTATATTGTAATAGCATTCAATTATTTTAAAATTTATTTATTACAATAAAAATTATTATATTTCTTATTAGGTTGAACAACATACGAAAATTCTTAAGTTTTAGTTCACTATACTCAATAAATAAAAATTATTCTTACACAATATTTATAATTATTTTAAAAAATATTCTCTATTCACAAATGAGAAGCATATTGTTGTAGTAAGTCGGACCGACTACGAGTTTGGTTTACTAGCCCAGAGTCCAAGAACATCCTCCACTTGCCATGGGATTTCTGCACCAAGACTACATTAGATACTCAGTAGGGGTATTTCACCTCTCTGATGTGCTCCTTGACTGTTGAAGGCATGATTCCACCCTCACTACACCTTTTAGAATGTAGAATCACAAATTGTTCTGTGGATCAGTGACAAGAAAAGAGTTTGGGGCAGCTGTAGCTTATTGAATAATCTGCTGATAAATTGATTAAAAATAATCTGCTGATAAGCTATGTGCGATGACTATTATAATTTTTTATTTTTTTAGAAAAGTCAGACCGTTGTCAAAAAGTTCCCACCGCACCGGTGTGAAAAATATTGTTTTAGACGTTTTAAAAATGCATAAGCTGTTAAAATAAAGTTTACCCAAACAAATTAGGTGCAACCTGTCACGGACAAATAGTCCCACATTGGCTAGGTGTAGGACCGAAAAGCAGTATTTAAGTCCTGGGCTGCCCACCACCCATAAGGGCTCTTTTGGGAGGTGACAAGTGGTATCAGAGCAGACTACTGCCTGCCAGGTGTGTGGACTCTCCATGGTCCAGTGGGACCCTCGGTGGAGCCGATCGGTGACAAGGGCGTCACGTGATTGGGTGGAGGAGAATGTCACGGACAAATAGTCCCACATTGGCTAGGTGTAGGACCGAAAAACAGTATTTAAGTCCTGAGCTGCCCACCACCCATAAGGGCTCTTTTGGAAGGTGACAAACCGCACCAAATAAAAGGAGGCCGTTGGGCTGCTGAGCCCGTCTTTGTATTTATTCTCGTGTTCTGGAACACCCGGCTAGCTTGGTAACTTTCCTAGGGCTTTGAATATTGGTCGGTACAGATCCAGAGAGCGTCAAGAGAGCGTGGAAGAGGAACAGAGAGCTAGAGGGAGAGATGGGGAAGACGCCGGTGAGGATGAAGGCAGTGGTTTATTCCCTATCGCCATTCCAGCAGAAGATTATGCCGGGATTGTGGAAGGATCTTCCGAACAAGATTCACCACAAAATCTCTGATAATTGGCTAAACACTGTTCTTCTCCTAGGCCCGCTCATCGGAACCTACTCGTAATCTTCCCCCCCCTATTTTATTTGATCATCATATTGTTTTTTCTGTGAGGGTTAACGAGAGCTGCATGTTATGATGTTTTTTTTTTCGTAACAAGAGCTGCATGTTATATGATCCTGTTTATTCTTTAGCAAATATTTCTCTCAAACAAAGCTATGAGGATTTACTGCGTTGGAGCATTTTTGCGGCAGAGATATTTTAGATTTTTTTTTTTTTGAAAATGCATTGATGGCAGGAACTTGGATTTCCATCCATTTTTAGGTTGGAATAGGATGATTTAATGATACTTATATCTTATTTAGTTGTTCAAAAAAATATGGATATTTGAAAGAGTGATAGAATAGAAAAAGAACTTCAGCTTTGCTTCTATGGTTCTTTCTGTTTAGTCTTATTTATAAGTCAGCAAATGATATGCAGATAAATGATTTTCGAGATTACCCTTTGGTGAGGTTTCTGTTTTTGTGTTTGATGAGGATTATAAATAGTTAAATGGGGAGTAGGTGGATATTAAAATATTATTTAGATGTGCAAATCCTTTTTTTTAACTTATATTCAATTTTTTGATTAAGCGTTAGACTTGAAAAAATCTGAGAGAGGCTATGATGTTGAAAGATTGAATTCGTAATGATTTTGTTTATATGCCTAGTTTCATGTTTATGTGATAACTAAGAATTTTGATGTAAGCATTTGTGCTATTTGAGATTTATTTTCACTCTTAAATGATATAATTTTTTAAGGATATTTATGATTTTGTTGTCTTTATGTAGCATTATTATCATATCTGTGTGTTTTGAATTATTTTATATGTAAGGGGCTTATTTAGCTTTTATTTGGGTTAATGGTGAAGGCATTTTTTGAAACACCCAAAATCATTAGTGGAAATTTTGGCCGACACTTGGCAAGTCCTTTGAATTGGATTTTTTTTTTTTTTTTTGGTGTGTTGTGCTCATATTGATATAGGCTACATGCAAGGATCTTTGCTATTGCTCGGAGTTCTAACCAGTAAGTTTAGTTATTTATATTCATTGTCTTGAATCTCCTTCACTTTATTCTCTTCATTTTTTACTGTAGAAAGCATTAATTATGGTACCATGCACTCCATGATTTGGCCATCAAACCAAACATCTTTTTGTCATTTTGGTGATAAAGCTTTGGATTTTTGCACTTCTATTTCTCTGTTACTGTCTTCTGATAAACCCAACCCCACAATACTCAAAACTAAGAGCTACAAACTCCTCAAAATGAAGATCCCTTACTGTGATTTTTATTTTTTGTTTTTTGTTTTTATATTTCATTAGGGCTTATTATTTTGGTTGTTTCCCTTGTCAATAAATTAGAATTCCATGAAATTTGGAGACACTTTGCTAGTTCCAGATCCAAATGCCTCACTAAATTTGATAGCCTAATAAGTTTTATGTACTCTCATCGATCAAATTATATTTATTTTACACCCATTGTTTTCACAATTTTTAACATTTTCCTCAAACTCCATCTTCAATGAGCTGAACCCAAACCATTCCATTTCTTTTTTATCTCATCCCCTTTGATCATTAATTCTAGTAAAAGGTTGTTAATTATGTTCAACCTCCCTTATCATCTGACCTTTCATATTACCATTGTTGCACTAGTCTACCTCTTTTTTTTCTTCTCCATTTTCTCTATTACATTATGCACTTAACCCCTCTTTTCTGATTCTTAAGTTTCATATACACCTCTTGCCACTTTGGTTAACATATGCAAGCCCTAATTAGGATAGTCAATCCACAAGAGCTCTCTTTTTTAATCACATAAAAGTTTAGTTTGCGCCCATTAATTCATTATTTTCTTGTTCCTCGCAATGATTAAAAGATTTTTGATGCAACAAAAGTAATTAGCTATAATGTTTACTTAGGTATTTCATGTAAATTAGTATTTTTCTATTTTATTTTAATCAAAATTAGGTTTACTTTTTTTTTGGATAATATATAGTTAGAATTTGAATTGTTTAGGATTTTGATTGGATTTGATTTAATCTTATATTTTTAACTACATTTCTATAAATGGGATATTCGTGGCTTGTAATGGAATTCAATTGACTAATGAATTGAAAATTAAATCTTCTTCATTTGTATTTTTATCCCTTCTCCCCACTTGAGTCTCTCCCTCTCTCTCTCTCTATCTATCTCCTTATGCTTGTTTCCTCTTCTTGTTAACCTGATTTACATCATTTGGCATCATAGCCAATGATTTCTCCCATTCGATTGATTTTCCGAGTATTGAACGATTTCTATGCTCATTCAACATTTCGTTAATCCCACGACCATCTTTATTTGCAGCAACAACAAGCCTTATCTCACTAAGTTGGGTCGGCTACTTGAATCTTTTTCTCCATTTTTTCCTATTGATGGTCATATTTTCATTTAATTCTAAAAAAAATTATGATCATTTTTTATATAACATGCTCAAGTCTTTTTAGTTTTTAGGTCACATGCTCAAGTCTTTTTAGGTCTACCTCTATCTTTCTTAATATAAGTTGAATTTAAAACATCTACTCCTAACTAGATCATCAGATGGTTGACGTTTAGTGTGACCAAACTATCTAAGATGACTCTCTCTAATCTTGTCTGCCATTGGAGCTACACTAGCCCTTTCACGGATACATTATTTTTGTCATTTTGTCTCTAAGCATCAACTCTTTCACAGATACATTCGTTTTGTTACATCAACCCTTTCACAGATACATTCATTTCACATTTTTGTCTCTAAGTGTCAAGCCACTCATTCATCTAAGCATTCTCGTCTCAACCACACTTAATTTAGTTTTATTCTTCACTTTTATCGGCCAACATTCCGCTCGATAAAGATTTGTAGGTCTCACCACCATCTTATAAAATTTTCTTTTAAGTCTAAGCAATACTTTTCTATCACAAAATAGGCCCAATGCATTTATCCACTTCAACCATCCAACTTAATATTCTACTAATAGCATCCCTATCTATATCATCATCACTTTTAACAATAAACTTGAGATATTTAAAACGTCACTCATTATAATGATTTGATCACCCATTGTTACAACTCTGCCACCAGATCAACTACTACTAAAATTATATTCCATGTTTTCAGTTTTAGTTCTACTCAAACGAAGGCATTTAGACTCTAATGTAGACTTCCATAATTTAAGTTTTTTCTGAGCTCTTTATCTAGTCTTATCTACAAGAATGATATCATCAACGAAAAACTTACATCAAGGTACATCCTTCTGTAAATGTCCAGTATGAGCATCCATAACTAAAGCCAAAAGATATGGGCTTAAAGCAAATCCCGGATATTATCCAACTGAAATAGGAAAGTACTTGGTCAATCCTCATTGTGTTCGAACACAAGTGATAGCTTTAGTATACATATCTTTAATGACTTGAATATAAGTCATATCAATACTTTTCTTTTTTAGAACTCTCCGAAGAAGTTCTTTTGGAACCTTATCTTAATTTTTTTCTAAATTAATAAAAATCATATGTAGATCCTCCTTACCCTCTCTGTACTTCTCCATCAAACTTCTCATTGAATGTATTTCTTCCATAGTTGACTTGCCGGACATAAATTCAAACTGATTATGAGAAATTTTTGTATCATCTTAACCTATGTTCAATTACTCTCTCCCATAATTATAATGTATGACACATTAACTTCATTTCTCTATAATTTGCTCTATTATGTGCATCCCCTTTATTCTTAAAAATGAGGACCAAAATACTTTTCCTCCACCCAGACGTCTTTTTAGCCTTTAAAATAATATTAAAAAAATTAACAAGTCAAGAAAGTCTCAAACCTCATAAAATCTCATAAATATTTTAACAGGTCTATTGAGATTCCATCAGGTCCTACTGACTTTCCCCTTGTCTTCTTTTAAGCATCCTCAATTTTCTTTTTTACTAATGCAACTGTAAAAAGAAAATAAAAATTATAATTATTAACAATATTAAGATCATTAAGGTTGGTCATATTTTCAAAAACTTCATTGAAAAATTTATCAAAATATCTTATCCATCTGTAGTGAACTTCTTTCTCTATATCAATGTTTTTTTTTTTATTTTCATCTATAATACACTTTGCTTGAATTCAATATTTACTTCATTTTTCTATTTTTTTGTCTAGTTTATACATATATTTTTCGTCATCTTTTGTATATAATGTATTAGAAAAATCACTAAAAACAGAATTTTTAACATCACAAATGGTTCTCTTAGACTTTTACAGAGCACCTTACGTTTTTCCCAGTTCTTTAAATCTTTTAAACCAATTTTTTAAACAAATCTTCTTATATATTATTTTTTCATATACATTATTATTCAACCACCAATTTTTTTTATTTATAAAAAATTTTTCGTTTGATTCTCGAAGTACATCTTTTGCCACTTGTTTAATTGTGCTTGTTATTTTATCCGATATAAAATTAGCTTCTTCATGAACATCTCAAATCTTGAAATTTTGAAGTTTACTCATAAACATGATTATATTTTGTCTTTTAGATGTCCCAATCTAATTTTATGACAATGTTTCACTGCGTTTTATCTCTTCCAACTCCTTATCTCAAAATTCAAAACTAATAATCGATATTGAGAACTTAAGTTTTCACTTGGAATGAACTTCCAACATTTACATTCTCGACGATCATTTAGAATGATTTTACAATTTTTACATTCTTCTTTCTTTGCTTTAACTAATTGTGATCTCTCTATATCACTTATTCTTAATAAGAGTTTGTCATTCTGTTCCTCACAAATCATCCCAACCACGTGTGATTTGCTCCCACCCAAGTGTAATCCATTCATTCTCTCCACTTGATCATAATCAAAACTCCTTGTCTCTATGGGTTCTCGCGCTTTCACTCTCTGATCGTTACTTCTTCAACTATTCAAAGTGCATCTCTCTAAGTTTGATGCACATTACATTTTCTTGCAATTTTTTCTTCTCTCATAATTTCGTCATGCAACAAACCATCGTTATCATGCCATTG